GGATTTTCATTAGCTTAACGAATGCTTCTTATTCGTCTTTTCCCTGTTGCCAAACGGCAAAGCAGTTTTCTATAGGTCTAAAGAATAACTTGCAAACTAGGAGTATATTTTGAGCTAATAAGCCATCAAGTTAGCTAAACTTGGAGCTAAACTTGATCTTATAGCTTAACCTCATGTTCGCTAATTTAATTTGTCATTAAAGGTAAAATATTTGCTCATACATAGTAATTTGGTAAATTAAATGCTTGCCGATATTTTCAACTATTAAGATTTCAGGGATGGATCTATTGTTAAATCTACAACTTGCATTGCTCCTCTTACCAAAGTATTAATGAGCCTAGGCATTACATCAAATCTTATGACTACATCAAAAATTCTTCATCTAATCAATTATTTTAATGCCAACAAATTTTTTTACCAAAAATAATCATTTACCTACAAATTCCATATCTCCTGAAGCAATATCTTGTTAATGCATCAATAAACGGAATGTAAGGCTTGTACGCATAAGCTTAACTAAAAATTCTATATACAAAATTAACTTTAGATGCATAAGATAAATTTAATGTAAAATTATTCAAGTATATCATCAGAACCTTGGGTTGTTGGGTGGCTGGTCTGAATAAAAGGCTCGGATGGGCGAAGAATTTCAAATTATTTTTTAGCACAAATTTCAATTCCATCCTGAAAGGACAGCAGTTTTGACTGAAATATTTTCCCACTTGGATTTAGATCTACAATTTGCTGGTTTGGAGTAAAAAATCTTGCTTCTAAATTTCATTTCGGACATTTCTGACTTAAGTGAGTTTATAAATGAGGCCTTGTCTAGAAAGGTGTTCACCAAATCTAAGAAAGAGCTGAGAATAACAGTTGATAGTTTGGTGCTCCATAGGCCGACATTCAAATCGTTTATGATCTAATTAGTCCCCTTTTCATTATAAACACTATTAAGAATCAATCCTCGCCAAATGCTTCCCATTACAAGTGAATTAGGCAGTTGGAATTAATTTTAATCTGTTTCTCAAATACGCTCCACTGCTAGCTTTGATATTGACCATTGCTCCCATCTATTCAAACCATTAAATATCATCTTCCCTTAGATTTCTGACAACTCTCAGGATTCATTTTAATTTATGAGTAGATAAAATAATTCTTGAGTTTTATCTTATACGTACTCATTCGCATTGACTTACAATGCATTGGCGCATCCTAGCCGATAATACCTTCTTGAGCAAGCCTTTAGAATGTGCAAGCTTGGCAACTGGACGCTGACGAGGGGGCTTGGTCCGAAAAGGCTAAGAATATTTTGGATTTATTTGTTTTGGGGCTCGAATTGTACAAGTATACCAAGACAGCTTAAAAAGCGTTGCTGGATAGATTCCCTTCATATCGTCCAGTCTGGATGAGTAGACACGTGAAAGCTGGACCGATGAAGGCGTGTGAATATAGAGGCAGTGGGGAAATATAAAGCAATAATATGCTAAACCAGCAGTGAATTACAATGGACTACAGAGTATGATAGCTTGTCTGGTTTAATTGGGTTCTACTTTGTCAAGTGGCAATTTTCATGGAGAAAAAATCAGCCAGAATAGAATTAACTAAAGCCAGCCTCGTGCTCTATTTTGTCCTTAAGTTGAAGATTTTAATGTAACAAGCCTAAAGTGACATCCTTTAAGTCAATCATTGACTGTCTCTACATTGCCTTGTTAAACTGCATTGAATTCTCTCTAATTAGGCGTAGCCTGAACCGTATAATCTGACTAGTTGGGATGGCCGTCCAGCCCAACTAACCTCTGACAAATGAAAGTGATATGATTTCTTGTTCGACGAGGCTGTAGTTAGGCTTTTATTCCGGAAAATTGACTTTTTTTGCCCATCTAAAGCCGAATGGGGGAAATAGCAAAAATCTGTTTATAGAATTGTTTTTATTATTAATCGAAATTCCTTCATCGCATAGGCGATAAAGTTCATAAGCAAGTATGCATCTCAAAGGTCTCTTGTTCGACTAATCAAACAATGATCCAAGTGTTTGTTACGTACATTTTGTGCTTGCTTCCTTTAGGGATAGATTATTGGAGTTATATCTTTCTACATGTAAGTATATTACAGTTTGGATTCTACAAAGGCCAGTTATATAAACCTCTACGGAATAAGTTCTGAAAGAAGGGCCAGAGGCTGAAAGGGGGAGGTAGACGCAGAGAAGGAGCCTGTATCTTCGCGTTAAGAAGAGACTGGCTACAACCATGTGTGCTGCAGTTTGTGTTTTTCGTCTGTAGGCCTGGCACCGACACACACGTTGGCTGTCTGGCTTGTCGGCTGTACACATGGGCCTAACTGTGTTGCTGGCAGCTGCAAGCCCTCGTCGGCGTCGAGCCGTGTTTTGCTCTTGTTGGCGCGTCCTCCGGACCTGGCGGTCGGGACTGATGGACAGGGCTTGTTAGGGTCCTTCATCAGCTTGGCGCTGAGGCAGGAGGAAGAAGAGGAGGCTGAAGAGGAGGCCGATCTGGACAACTTTGACGCCTCGTCGGGATCGCAGAGACGCGGCGAGGCTGGCCTGCAGGTTGGCGGCAGTTCGGTGGCCAGCATGGAATCACAAAAGTTGGACAGTGAATTGTAGTTCATGGGCGCCAGGAGGCCGGCCGGAGCGGAGGTATGGCTGGACGCCGGCCGGGCCTCTGTGGACAGGGCGCGGGGGGCCAAGAGACGGTGTGGAAAGGCATCTACGCGGTTGGGGGTCGTGTCCGGAGTGCAGGTCTCCGTGCCGACAGGCTCTTCCAGCTTCAAGCTGGGCGAATGAATCTCGGTTCTCCGGCTTCGCTTCTCCCCATGCTGCCGGGACCTGTTCGGTCCGGGGCTGAGCATCTCGTCTTGCGGTATCCACGCCGAGCCGCTGGAGACGAGGCTGACGAGACCTGCTCCGTCCGACAAGCTGATTCTGATGTCCGGCTGCGGGGCAGTGTACTTCAGGCTCCCGTCGGCGGCGGAATCGCCCTCGTCCGGCGTCTGTCCGGCCTCGGTTTCCTCCGCCTCCCTGAGCAGGCCGAAACTCCGGCCTCCGGCGCCCGGCAGACAGACAGACGTCTCTTTTGTCGCTGGGCACAGCGTCTTCTTGCGCGCCGACAAGCGCCGCTGCCGCATCGCTGTCAGCATCGTCAGGCCGGACTCGGCCGACCGAGTCTGCGGTCTCGTCTGCCCGGCGGCCTCGGCATCAGAGGCGTCTGAAGACGGTGCATTGTGCTGCTCAGCGACAGGATTGTCAGCTGGAGGCATGCGACCACCGGAGCCGCCTGCTTCCTGCCCGGGTCTGGAGAGGAGGCGAGCCAA